GATATCTAAAACTGTTGGAAATTGAGCTACCATATCATCCAGCAATCCCACTACTGGACACATACAGAGAAGAGACAAAAAACAAACCACGCCAGACATCTGTGCCCCTATGTTCCTCGTGGCACAGTTCGCGATTGCAGTGAGTAGGAAACAGCCCAAATTTCCATCAACAGACGAATGGATTAAAAAACTCTGGTAGATACGTACAATGGAGTATTACACCTCCCTAAAAAGCAGTGATGAACGCATGAAGCACATTGCTGCATGGGAAGATCTGGAGGAAATTGTGCTAAGTGAAGTAAGTCAAGCACAAAAGGACAGATACTACATGAGTCAGCTGAGGTAAGCTCAAAATATTCAAAAGGGGCATAGGGAAGAAGCTACTGTATACACACATCCCTTGGGTGAGGTCCAGGTAATATGGCAGGGGCCAGAATAAACTCAGGGATACATATGGTAGCCCACTAAAAAGGAGCGGGGTGAAAAGACACGGGTAGCTGGGGAACAGGGCATTACCCCACAAAGTACCAGACTTCAACCCGGTTCTCCAAGACAAGAACGCACCACACTGACATGAAGCAGGGAACCAATAGAGTGGCCTGAGGGGCCAATCCCATTACCAACTAAGTGGACAGCACCACTCTCCACCCCAGAAGTATTCACTTCAGAGGACAGCACTGAAGCTACAGCTCAAGAAGAGGGACTTGTCTGATCAGAGCATACAGGAGCCAACGAGGGAGGAAAGGGGGGAAAAAAAAGTGAAGCACATCCCGGCTCACCAAAGCATGAGGATAATATTAGTGCTCAGAGCAGCAATGCACAGAGAAAACAACAGGACCAGCCTCACCACAGGACACAACGTTCCTCATGGACCCATAGCACTGCTGGGGACAGAACTAGAGACACATGGTGGGGATTGTGCAGACCCTGAGATCACTACACTGAAGCCAGCCTCTGGGGACATGCAGCAGCACAACGGGGGAGCAGAGCAATGAAGTCCCTAAGGAGAGATGTGGGGCCAGGACATGGCACCAATGAGACACAACAGGAAAGCACTCCTGATGACAACAAATAGACCCCGAACTATTTATACTTTTTTGTGTGTGTTGTTGTGGTGGTGGTAGCTATTGTTTTACTTTTTATTGTTGCTTCATTGTACTCAGTCTTGTGATCTTATATAGCATGTCTACCTGGAAGGGATAGGTGGGATAAACAAGCTGGAAGAGAGAAAAATGGGATGACAGTTCTGGGGGGACATGGGAGGAGGGGAGGTGGGGGAAAGGAAGTGGATGTTAACAATC